CCATGCGCCCCCTGGCGCTCGGGACCTTCTCGGGGGAACGACACAGGCCCCCAAGCCGGATGGTGCGGCCACCAGCTCGCTCGCCCCGAAGGACATCTTCGGGATACCCGTCGATCGTTGAAAGCAGGTATGTTTGGGTTCCTGAAGAAGGAACCCTTTTCGTTGGGGAGGGGCTCCGCGTTCCTTAAACGTTTCACAGCCTTCTGTTTTCGATAGGAATTGAAGCTGAACTTATGGAAACAAAAGGGGTCTCGTTTCTTATTTAGGGTTCCTTAAGTCAACGCCCCGACTGTGTGTTTGGACTCACAGGCCCCAATCTACTTTGGCCGCCTTCCTACCTCAAGGGTCGAGCGGTTCTCCCTCCTTCCCCCTTTCTTCAGGGGGCGGGCGGAAACCCGATCTGCTTCCAACGCATTGCTGCTTCATGTTTCTACCCACCTCTTCCGACCGATGGGACTTCGGCATACGCGTCCGCAATTTTTGGGGCACTTTTCGGCGGGACCCTCAACAGGGCGATTCGGGACGAGAAATTGGTCCCGGGGGGAGGCAGGAGACCAGCTGCTCGTTCTGACTTCTCGATGGACGGTCCTGGGGCCCGGCGAGGGCCCCCCACGGAGGCCGCACATGGCCACAAGCCTCCCGTGACGATCCTTGCCGCGGCGTGAGGGGGCCCGGTCCAGCGCTGCTGGAGAAACCGTCTTGGGGACCTCCGACGGTCGGTGCGGGCCGTGCGTTCCGGAACCGCGCGGGCCCTCCCTTTCGGGGGCGGCAAAGAGGGGGGGAAAGACTGGGGGGGGGGGGGATCTCATGGCGGGGGCCATGATATTTCCCCAGATTTCATGGCGCCTCTTCTTATTTCGTTACGTCCCTGGCCCCCCCGCTGCGCCGCGCACATGCCGCCGGTCATGATTGTAGTGGCCTCCGGCCAGTGCCGCCGATCCGGGGCGCTCCGCAAGATGATGATCAGGATGATGATGAAGATGATGATGACGAAGGGGAGGAGGGGGGGGGTGCAGGGGAGGAGGGGGGGCTCCGCTCTGCAGGGGGGGGGGGGGGCTGCAGGGAGGAGGTCCGTTCTGCAGGGGGGGGGTTGCTCTGCAGGGGGGGGGGGTGCACCCCCCCCCCCTTGGACACCACCCTCTTGGCCGCTCCCGACCCTTAGCGCCGCACGGGCCGCGGCCGCAGGCTCGACGTCTGCCGCGCCCTGGTGGAGCGCCGCGCCGACCTGACGGCGCACGACGCGTCGGGGCTGACGCCGCTGGCGCTCGCCAGGATGGGCGGAGCGCGCAGGGGCGCGCCACGTTGCATCTTCGGGGGGCCTCGCCTGTCCTCAAAAATTTGTCTTTCTCTGGTGCCCGACGCGGGCTCGACCTGGACTCGACATGGATTTGGCGTGGATCCTACGCGGATTCGACAGGGATGCGACGAGGCCGACACGGATTCGACACGGATACGACGCGGATGGGGCCGCGACGGGACAGACAGAGTCCCCTTGAGGACGCAACAGAAGGCCGCGTCGGAGAAGGCCATCAAAGGACGGACAACCCTCCACATACGTGACTCTCTGGAGATCCGTGCGGATTTCGTGGATCTGCGCCGGGGCCCCGTGGCGGCGCCATCAGCGCCGCCCTTGGCGCGCGTCGCGTGCCAGAGAGGAGAGGGGCACAGCGCGGATCCAAGACTCCGCGTGGACTTTCGAAGGTGAGTGGTCATTTAGCTAATTGGTCCTCTAAGGGAGGGAGGGGGGAACCGCTCCCGAGGTCACCGCTCGGTCTGTCACCGCACCGTTGTGGGACACCCAGAGGTCACGCCACATCGATTGATGGGGTGCCCGCACAGCTTTGAACCTCGGGCTGCTCCCCGAGGCTGCCTTGGGCGACTGGGGCCTCCGAGGTACCAACACCGTTCGGTGAGGCCTTCGGCGATGCCCAGGTCACCGCGGGGTCGTCTGCAAGGACAGTGGAGCGCAAGTTGCCTGCGGAAGGCCGCGCGTGAGCGCCCTCGCTCGCAATGTGACGTGTCGCGATGGCAGTCCGCGCAAGCCGCGGCGTAACGTCGCTACGCCTTCCTGCGTAAGACCCGCTTCTTTTCGTCGCTCACGTGTCGCGCCACGCCCCCTGCGCGCGCCGTTAGCAGGAGCCGCCCCCGCGGCGCCGGCGAGTGGCGGGAAGAGGACCCAGTGGCGGCGTTTCTGCAGCGGGCGCTTGGGCAGCCTGGGCCGCAGGGGTGAGCCGCCGCTGCGCAACCATGTCCTCCTCCTCCTCCTCCTCCTCTTCCTTGTCCTCCTCCTCCTCTTCCTCCTCCTCCGTCCTCCCTCCTTCCCTCCGCCTCCTCCTCCTTCTCCTTTGTCCAAGGTCCTCCTTCGAGGTCTTCCTCCCCCTTCCAAGATCCTCATCCATCCTCCCTCCATCGTCCTGATCCTTCCTCCTCCGCCCTCCCTCTCGCAGAAAGGCAGGAACGCGCCAACTGCTATGGTAGAAGCTCTTTCCAGTGACGCATCAGGTAACGCCTAATCAGAAATGCTCAGGAACTGAATCGAATCCGTACGCCCAGCCCGTGTGGCCCGTCCGACGGAATTGCTCGGAGTGTCAAGGATTCTCGAGGAATTCCAAGTGATCCATTGGATATCCTTGCTCATCTAGTCCTCAGGGATCCCGAGGATTCTTCTTCGGGGGCCCCAGCATTCCTTTGGATTCGCAGCCTTCCTGATAATCTCGAGGGGCTCCTAGCAACTCTCAGGGACAAGAACTCTTAGGCATCATTCGGCCCTGGAGCTCATGCGACTCGGTACGCCGAGCCCGTTCGCCCCACGCCTCCCGCCCTCCCACGCTTAGAGCATCCTTCGGAATACTGCTGGATCTTTCGGACTCCCAAGTGATCCTCATGGCTTCCTGGTTCTCCTGTGTGCTCAAGTGAACCGAAAGAATCCGCAGGGATCCTGAGGATCATCAGGAATCCCGGGGAACCCTTGGATTCGAATGACACCTCAGGGAGAGTTCAGGCATCTTAGTGATCGTCCTCCTCCTCATCCTCATGACGGAAAGGAGCACTAGCGGCAACAGCATGTGAGGATATTGATGATGATCATGATCATGATCATGATCATGATCATGATGATGATGGTGATGGTGATGGTGATGGTGGTGGTGATGATGATTATGATTATGAGTATGATGATGATGAGGAGGATGATAATAATGATAATATGATTGATGATGATGCTGATGTTGATGATGATGATGATGATGATGATGATGATGATGATGATGGTGATGATGATGATGATGATGATGATGATGATGATGATGATGATGATGATGATGAAAGTGGTGGTGTTGCTGTTGATGATGATGAGGAGGAGGAGGAGGAGGAGGACGATGCCAACGAAACATGAGGGAGAGAACGATGGACGAGGACGAGTATGAGGAAGAGGAGGGTGATCATGAGAAGGAGAAGGGAGAAGATGCCGCAAAGGCCCTAACACCTTTTTAGAGAGCCCTCGGATGAACTCAGGCGGGCTCCGCGGGCTTTGAGATTCTCAAGGTTTTGACCTGGAGGTGCGTTTCGCAGTTGAAGGCTGGAACGTCAGATAGTTTGGAACAATACACACATACCATTGGAACATATGTCTCACAAGTATTCTGGGCCGAGGCCACTTCCAGAATTTACCAAGTGTCCTGAAATAGTAGTTTTCGGTGTTTTTAGTTTTGTGTGATTTGGTTGTCCTGCACCTCCAGGCTGAGGACTCCTGTAGCGCAGCTGATACCTCAAGTGGAAGCCTCCAGAGGTCTCCAGCGCGAAGCTGGGACAAACACAGCATCGTCCTGGCCTGCATCGTCGCTGGCGCTCTCTCTCCGTCCTGCTTCTTCGCGGGGGGGGAGGGGAGAGAGCGTCTCGAGCACGCACACCAGTGGCAGCAATGCCCTCGACAGGGACAGGGGGGTGAAGGCTTCTTAGAAGCATTCCCCTTCAGAGAAGCCTCCCCCCTCCGCCCTATCCCCCTGTGCGCGCCTGATCCCCTCGCCCCGTTTCTCTTCGCCCCTCCTTCCTCTTCCCGCCCTTCGCACGGGGCGCCACCGCGGCTGCGCTTGTCCCGGAGGGCCCGCGCGAGGGGTCGAGTGGGCCAGCCGGGGTGGGGATGGGGCCATGGCGCAGCGCGCGGCGCGCCCCCGAAACAAAGCCGGGCTGCCCGCTGCTGCTCGTCGCCGCCGCCGTGGCTGCCGCTCCCCCTTCCCCGAAACCACCTCCTCCGCCGTCCGCCCACCCCGATCCTCCCCCCTCCACTCCCGCCGCCGACGTCGTCGTCGACGTCGACGTCGCGGACGTCATCGATGGCGCCGCCTCGATCGTCGTCGTCAGAGGTCGTCGTGGTTGTTGCCGACGTCGTCGTCGTAGCCGCCGCCGCCCTCTGCGCGGGAACAGCAAAGAATGTCCGCAAGCGCCTCGGCGCCTGGGCGCAGCCGAGGAGGGGGCAACCAGTCGGGGCGGTGCGACAGCGGGTAAATAGTCCGTGGACTGGTTTCGGCGCGTCCTCCAGCCGAGTTCCTCGAGGGCCTCATCCCCGACCTGTTTGTCGGCTGCTCCCCTCCGGGTTCCCTCCTCCCCGCTCCTGATGACGTAGTTCGGCCCCCTTTTCCGCCGTCGTATTCCACTGCCCTATCCTCCTCGGCCTCCTTGCCTTCTTCACACCCGTCTTCTTCAGTATCCTTAACCTTTTGGTCCTCCTTGTTTCTGTCACCAGGGATCGGAGATCTTTACGTGTGAGGTCTGACATGCTCGTTTGAAGGTTGGAGGTATCTGCGGCTAGTGACGCTCCGTATCCTCTCAGGGCGTCGTGCACAACTTCTTTGGTCGTGAACTGATCCTAGAGCACTTGTTTGTGTGTGTGTTATCGCTCCGCAGCATGTCTCAAGGGTTTGTCTCAAGCTTGGATCAAACCATCGTGGTTCAATCCACGTGACCCAATAGAGGGAAGGTGGAGCAAGCCGCCGTGATGTCGTATGTGTTTTCGTCTGGTAGACATCGGCAGAAGGTCTCGAGAAGGCGCTGTTTCAATCGAGGCGGCAATCAAGGAGTGTGGTCGGACAAGACAATGGAGCGTTGCCATGCAGTTGTTCCGCGATGGAATTCAGTCAGGTGTGCAACTCTTCCCAGGCCACTACATTGCGACCGCCAGTGCATGCAGAAAAGGCGGGCAATGGCAACACGCGCTGTCGGTGCTCGCTATGATGTGGGAAGCGAGGCTGGAGCCCAGCGTCATCTGTACTACATTGCAGTTTCCCGCGCGCGCGGGAAGGGTACTGCATTACGTGGATTCTCGGGGCCTCCGGAGCCGTCCGAGATCAGGACATGCTTCCCTCGCCTCAGCGAGCAGTCCTGAGGCTCCGCTGAGGCTCCCCAGGCGTCTACCGAGAGCTTGCTGTCCTTCAGTGCGAGATTGGGGTTTATTCTCTGACCGCCGCCTTGGGGCCTGGGGAATCAACTTCAGGGAAGTCGGCAGGCAGTGGACATGGATAGTTATGCCCCTGCCCCAGGGCCCAACCAAGTATTCCGCACCAACCGGCTGCCGACGTCCCCGAAGATCGGGTCTCCCGGCGTCGGTGATGGGTGGAACTTTGCCTCGGACTCAGAGACCCCAGATCATCTCAAACTGACCCCCGGGTGGCCCAACGCAAGGGCGCCCTACAGGGCAGGAAGTCCTTCGCGCCTCGCGCTTCGGCTCCGACTCCTCGTCCTCCTCTCCTCCCTTTCGGGGGGCCGCGCGATGGCGCGAAGCTCTTCGCGCAGCGCGCAGCGCGAAACGGGGCGCCCCTGCAGCGGGGCCCCTCGGCGGCTGGGCCGAGGGCCCCCGACGAGCCGCTGGTGCGCAGATGTGCTCCTGCAGCGCGCCCCGCCCGTCGGCCCGGGAGGGGTCCACAGAGGGCCCGAGGCCCCACGGGGGCCCCCCCAGGGATGCCCCGCACGGCCTCGAGATTTAAGTCGGGCCCGTCCTCCTACCAAACTAGCCAATAAAAACATAGCAACAACAAGTATCAAATACATGTTGGACGAAAACTCAAACATTAATTTTGGCCGAAATTAACCAACAACAACATATAATAATTATATCAAACATCCAAGAAACCAAAAATAGCCAAACTTTAAAACTTATCGGCACATAAAAACATAGCCCAAAACATTAAAATATGCCCAAACATACTCAGAAAATGGTCCCCACACTACTGGTTGACTATTCTTGACTATTCCCCCTGAAGAGGGACAACCCGACTTCACTCGAGATAGATCAGCATGCAGGAATGAAACTGAGCCACAGATCCAAGTAAGCTTCGACTCGCGAGAACCCGAGGAGACCTACTGGAGGTCCGGGGAAAACGACCATCGAGACAACACGGACAGATATAGTGTCCTGGGATTTGTGTACATTCTTGACGCTCGCTCCGCGTATCCCCACCACGACGCAGCCACGGGACTCCACAGGACCAGGGAATTACCCGCCGCACCTCCGGCGGTTACTAGCTGCCGATGGCGCCCCTTCCGTGAGCGCCGCGCGGCCCGCCCCGGTTTGTCTCACCCTCGCTGGTTTATTCTTCTTTTCGCCTCGTGTGCAATTGAAGTTCCTGCTCGTTAGCTGTTATGTTGGACGGCGCGCGGCCCTTTTTCTCGTTTGCGCTCGCAAACAAAAATCCCCACCAACCCATCCAGAAACGATGTCCATGAGGGTTGACGGGGGGAGGGAGGAAGAGACACGCATAGTTAAACAACGAGAGAGGTTTGGGAGGCTCCGTGGCCATCTCGAGCCGTTTGGAGCATCTTGGGAGCCATCTTGAGCCCGCTTGGGCGATATGGGAGCCATTTTGGATGTCACATTGGGCTCTCTGCGGCCGCTCGGGGGCCTCTTTGGTTTGGTTGTTTTGGGTGTTTCTTGGAGGCCTCTTGGGGCGTTTTTGGGGCCCTCCTCGGAACCTCTCGGGAGCCCTGGAGGGCCTCTTGAGGCAATCTTGAAGGCGGTCGGTCAAAAGATGTCCCTCCCCCCCTTCGGGGGCCACGATCCTCGTGAGAGGTGTCAAAGATTTGCCGTCCCAGGGGCCGAGGAAAGGAAGGACACTGACACCTCGCGAGTCCTCCCCAAAAAACCTTAGAGAGGGGAGGGGGAGGGCTTCCCTCCCCGAGCTATCATGCGTGGCCTGCCTACATAGAACTAAAGGGCTCTAGTGTACGCTATAGTATGCGATCAACATACAGCATGAACTCATGTAAACTAGTAAAACACCGTAGAGAAATCGTGAACCAATGCTACAACATATCCCGAAATAGTGAAACATAGTGAAAACATTGAAAAGTGTGGAAATAGTGAAACGAATGAGAATAGTGAAAATTATGAACACTAGCAATCTGCGCGAAATTTCTGGGAACGTAGTCCCTCCTCCTCTTCCTCTTCCTCCCCCTCCTCTCCCTCCTCCTCTTCAGCGGGCCAGCCGCTTTGTTTTGCAGTTGCCGAACGTAGTTCTGACGATCGCAATGCAGGTGCTTCAGCGGTGCGACCACTTCACGCGTTCGTGATGCAGCGGCGGGGCCGCTTAGCACGCCCTCTCCATGCGCAGCCACTTGAGCGGCTCCCCGCGGCGAGCGGTCGCGTCGGAAGCTCATCCGCGCGCGCCATGTCGTCCAGGATGCGCGCGGTTAGCAAGCGTCCTGCAGCGAATGTGCCGTTGCATTCGGACGATGATGGTGACGAGCCTCTATTCTCATGCCCTAGCCATGTCATCTCTCTATTCAGGCGCAGCGGCATGACCGCTTTGCAGCGGCATGACCGCGTTGCTGACCCCTGCAGGTGATATTACTGATCCAGGAGACGCAGCAGCTGTCATCGCCAACGCGGCGATGACAACCTTGCCCGAGGAGGGCCCAGGCGCCAGCCCAGCCCCCATGCAAGCAGCGGCAGCGCAGAACGTGCTTCAGGCGCTCTTCGCACGCCAAAGCAGCACGGCTGCAGTAGGCAGCCCGCAGGAGGCGCCAGCCGAGGAGCCCGCGCAGCCTGCGGGAGGCGCCAGCGTCGACAGCCACCAGCCGGCAGAGGAGGCTGACGGCGAGCCCGTCGACCAGCGCGGGATCCAGCCCGACGGCCCCCCCTACGCCCGCCCTGACGGGTCGGCCGAGCCCGACGGCCCCCCCAACGGCCCCCCCCCGACGGCCCAGCCGAGCCCGACGGCGCGCAGCGCGTCGCCCGCCTCGACGGCCCCCAGGCTGCCATCCTCGTCAACGGCACCCAGCCTGACGCTTCAGTCGGGGAATGGGAAGATCTACCAGCGAAGCAGCAGTCGGACGACGACAAAGCGAAGGGCGAGGACATTAAGGCTCTGCCCGCGTCGCAGGGGGGGGGGGGGGGGGGGGGCGACATGCTCCACGTGCTAGAAGGGCGCGGGTCCGCTTGCAAAGGGCTGTAAAATCATCCATGGCGGCGCGGCCATCACGCGCGGCACGTGCGGGGTGCGCGACCAGACGCTGCGGGGGATTTTCGGCGGGTGGCCGATTGCGGAGTTCGATAAGTTCCGTGCCCCGTCTGCCCCTCCTGCCCCCCCCTTCCCCCTCCCGCCCCTCCTGCCTCGCCCCCCTCCTGCCCCTCCTCCCGCGCCCCTCCCGTGCCCCTCCTGCGTCTCTTCCGCGCTTCCTCCGCGTCTGCCCCGTTGGATGTCAGTTGAATGTCACCTGGGTGTTGCTTGCGCGTTGTTTTCGTTGTCGATGTGCTGTTGTTCGCTGTTTTTTTCGGTTTTGTTTTGGTGTTGTTGTTGTTGTTGTTGTTGTTGTTGTTGTCGTTGTTGTTGGTGTTGTTTGGTGTTTTTTGGCGTGCGTTGTCTCGTGAGGTTTTGTTTGCGCCGCCTCGCGTTGGCCGGGCGCCCGCGGCGCCGGCCAGCGCCAGAAACGTGGAAACGCATGCACATCGCGTGTTTTTTGCTGTTCGTTTGTTTGTTTGTTTCGTTGCACGCATCGCTGCGCGTTTTTTTTTTTAGTTTTTCATTTTTTTGCGGTCTGGCGTTGTCTGACGCTGTCTGGCGCTGTCTGGCGCTGCCCTGGGGGGGGGGGGGCGGGGCGGGAGGGGGGGGGCGGTGTAGGGGGGGGGGTGGCGGAGTCGGAGCAGGTGCCGGCGTGTTCTCTGGGCGTTGTTTCCGCGTTGGTTTGGCGCTGTCTGGGTGTTGTCTGGGCGTTGTCTGGGCGTTGTCGTTGTTTTTGTTTCCGCGTTGTTTCCCCCCCCCTCTTCCCCCGCCTCCTTCCCCTCCCGCCCCCCCCCCTCCTCCACCTCCGCCTCAGCGGGGCAGCCGCTTTGCTCTGCATTTTTCTAATGTAGTTCCCCCCCCCCCCCCCCGAGCGGGCCAACCGCTTTGCTTTGCAGGCCGACCGAGACTTGGAACGCGAGGTCCTCCTCCCTTCCCCCTCCCCACCCCCCCCATCCTCTCTCTCCTGGGGCGCAACGCTCTGGCGGCGGTCGTCAAATTGAGAACTTGTTTGAACGCCTAAATATTGGAAGCGCATTTCACAAATAGCGTAACATTGTTGAGAATCATTGAAAATCAAGAGAAGTAGTGAAAAGTAGTGAAAATATTGGAACATGGCGAAACATAGTGCGAAACAAATAAGAACAATAAAAAAATGAGTTATCGTAAATCATATCTGCCTTTAGGACTCGCAAGCATCGCTGACAATAGGCAAGGATAGCGCCTATAGGAATAGATAGCGGGCCTACCGAGCATTAAAACTGTAGGCATTCCCATAGGACTGACCTACCATCCTAACCAGTCCTAACTCCTCCTAACCTCTCCTCAAATACAGATCCGGTGGGTAGTTACCTATGCGACCACCCTTCGAGTGATAAGGAGGTTCGGGGGGGGGGGGCCAACGTCTCACTCGATCGGTCTCTCTGTCGATCTCTCTATCGATCTCACTACCGGTGTCGCTCGATTGATCTCACTCGTTCGATCTCACAATCGAACTCACAATCGGTTTGGCGATCGATCTCGCGATCGATCTCACGATCGATCTCGCATTCGGTCTCACTATTGATCTCAGCATCAATATCACAATCGGTCGCACACTCGACATCATCATCGCCAACAGCATCACCATCAACATCATCATCATGCTGATCATCATCATCGGGACACCACCCGCATCATCAGCAACAACGACATCATCATTATCACCATCATCATCGGGGCACCATCATCATCACCGCATCATCATTATCAGCATCATCATCATCGGGACAC